TGACTTCAATCCTGAAATTTCCAGTACAGAGGTAGAGTACTACACCCACACAAGAGCCATTTCAGGATTGAGGTTTCTCATTATTTAAATTTAAAAAAAACACCATTTGGCTAATATACTCATACCTGCACAGTGACCAATAGGAAGGAAGGGTTTGCTTTCAAATCCTCAAAAGCCAATAAAGAACTATTAAAAAGAGCTTTTTAAAAAGTTGAACCACACTAATTACCTGTCTTACTGAGACCCAAACACTGGATAGTCATTGGAGGTTTGTCATACTAAAGGTTCACAAACAAAACTAATGAGAAGAGTTACAATGGAAGTACTCTCTCAACGCATTGGCATTACAACACTGATGGAGCTGGCCCAACAACCATGCTTTACAGGCATCCTGAATGTGCTCTGAAAAATTCCAGATGTGCTTTTTAAAGTACTGCTGTATGGCACAGTTTACTTTCGCGCCCCTCCCTGTGATCATAATCAGGGTAGTTTCCTGGCTTCTGTTTACATTGCATGTGAATGCAGGACTTCTGATTAAGAACAGCCAGCTGTTCTCTCCCCTTGCCTCTGGTTCATCTGAGTCTTAAATATTTGTAAAAATAAGGAAAATAATTAGAGCGTCAAATAGATTAACCAAAAATGATTCCACCCACTTGAATAAACTGAACCTGATAGAAATACGTATGTTCAGGTAGATGGCAAATATTTACTATGTGTGCGAGCACACAACATAAAAAAGCTGAGCACTCAAGAATAAGGAAATGCTAGAAATGAGGTCTGGATGCTAGTCTTTCCCCTCTCACCAATTTCCTCTGTGATGCTGGCTTTGCTGAAAACACTTCTACCAGTCACCACTTCCATGGGAGGTATCTAACTATGGGCTCTTTATTTTCTGGACACCTGACTTGAGACCTTGGGTTCTGATTTGCAGAAATACCAAACATTTATAATTGCAATTGAAGTCAGTACAATCCAAGCACAGCTCCCATTAAGTGCCACATAGCGCTATGCACGCTGAAGAATCAGCTCCTAGGAGTCCCAGATTGGGCCTCCAAAATTAGCAGATACTCTTGACCTTAATATCTCTGTGTCTCTGCTTCCCATTATAAAATGGAGATAATGATGCCCCGTAGCCCCAGGGGGTGCTGGGAATAAAAGTTAATGTTTGTGAAGCTCTAAGATACTATGGTAATGATAGCCACAGAAGTCCCTATGAGGAAATTAATTCTGTCTTCAGATCAGGGCTTGAATAGCATGGGGTAAATAAGGGATGGGGGCACACATTGAACAATGAGGAGAAAAAATATTGAATATCTGCTCATTAAGTGAGCGCTGGCCTTCGTGCATACTGACTGAGACAGGGGTCTGCAGCAAAAAAACCCAGCATCTGATCATGTGATTAAAGACTACAATAATGCATATGGACAAGGGGGCTAAATTAATGTTGCACAGGCAGCCTGAATTCTGGTATTTCCTTACTTGAGTGTTTGACTTTACAATCTTAGTCATATTGTATAAAATGTATGTAACTAGCTCTATAGTAAAGCAAATGGAAAAAACAGAATATCCATCACACAGCATCATAATGACACCACATGGGGTGTCACCATGTTTGGCAACTTTAGATCCACCCATGTTTTCTACTTGAACCGCGAGGGTTGTATGGTATAATCTCCTACGCAGGTCAGCACTGGAGTCCAGGCTTAGCTGAACTTCCTCCCATCCCGAACAAGCCCTCAGCTACCAGTCTCAGTCTCCTTGCTCAGCCAACCTCAGTCTCTTCCACTAGCTTCCTATCCAGTCTTTCCTTTTCATCATCTACTAAATTCCAGTCTTACTGGCGCAACTCCATACCCCAGTCTCCTGTCATCCTCCCCAGCATCCCCAAGCCCCCCTATTCTGGGGCTTGGACTTAACATAATCTAAAGGATCTGGAACTACATCTGAAATGGAAAGGGGTCTGCTCAGACTCCTGGTCCCAGGCTGGCACTTGCTCATCATGGATGGAAACTTGAGAGAACTGAACCATGAGAAGAGAAAGCAGATGGCATAGCCCTGGCATTATATGCTGCTCCAAAAAGCATGCTAAAGCTTCTCAGAGAACAGATCTCCTGAATTTTTATTTTATTCTTAACTAGGACAAAAACACCTGGTTTCCTGAACTCTCATTTTCAAAAATGACTGAACCATTTTCTATTCAGGGGCAGATACCCAGAACAGAAATTCTCTGTCCAAATGGTTGAACGTCTGGCAAGGTGTCTGATAACGGGATGTGGGAGGTAAAATTATTAACAGGTAGTGCTACCGGCTCCACATATATAGAGAAATATGAAATAGATACAGATAGTGGAAAGCATTTTTGCATTTAGCTCAGATTTTTGCTTCAGTGTCAAACTGATTGACCAGAGCAGTGCAGCACTGCACAGCCAACTATATTCATTCAGCACTGCACAGCCAACTATATTCATTCAGCCCAATTGCATGCTAGTGAACAGCATGTTTCATCTCTTTGAGTCAAGGATTTGAACGCTTAACCCTTCCACTGAAAAGCACGACGATCCATTGGAGCCACTCTCCTGGCTTAATTTATGGACTATCTTTTTAAATATTCTTCCATCCCAGTGTAGATTACTATACCAATTACAATGGCATTTGTTGTACACAACCAAATATGAGCTCAAATACATAAAATAATACAAAGGTGCTTTACTGTTTCTATTGCAGCTAGGACCCACCACATTGTCTTACTGCATTTCTTGCAATTTCTGGGAATGCACAAATCGCTAATAAGAAATGCTGAGGGGACAACTAAAATATAGTAAGCAGCAATTGCTTTTAAGTTGACACTTTTGCCTTTTTCAGAAGCCCACATTTACATTCAATAGAACAAGCTTCAGTTTATACAGCATCTCTGGGAGATGTAATATTTAAGTATCCCTTAAAATTACTTTAAAATATGCAGTTGTATGTTTTACAGCACCTCTATACTTCCTGCTCTTAAGTCTTTCAGCGTCATTATTTCAGAATACCAATCCCTTATCTATATGAAATGTTTTTCATATTTTAAGGGCCCAACGCAAAGCTCTTTGAAGTTAGTCGGACCTTCTGCATGTATTTCAGACTTGCTCAGAAACTTTTATTCAGGAATGACCTGATTACTTTCTCACTATTTGCCCTTCAAGCTAGGGAGCAAGGTCTCCATATGTCTTGACCTTCTCTGACCTTAAAAGTTGCACCACCCTTCATGGAAATTAGATAAATAGCCTGTTCAAGAAAACAAGTCCAAGGTTTATATCGCAGCCTTTAAAACTCATCTCCCAGGGCCTTACTCGGGAAAGCATTACAGTTCTGGTTATGGGACTTGCTGCACCTCTGTCTCCTTTCTGTTCTTTGAAGCCCCCTGAGATGCTTGACAAGTGGAAAGGATGCCCTTCCTTTATCCCCCTGCTGCCAAGCCCAAACCGATCTATCCACATCCATCATACAGAAACACCAGGTAACTGACAGCATGACTTGAACATGCTTAACTTCAATGCAACTCCAGTGAAGATACTTCTGATTTGCACCAACATGAGGAAGGGAAATAAGGCCTTCTGGCACCAGCACGTGGAAGACTAAGGCCACTTCACAACATTTCAAGCCAACAGATAGATGGTGGCTCATTGAAAATAAGAGGTTGGTGATGCCAGAGCCTCTTCACAGCAGTACCCCAGAAATGATTTTGGATACTGCAAACTTCTTGGAGTCAAGTGCTTTTCATACGAGTTGTAAATAAATTGTTGGCAAAATCCTACCATCTTCAGAGGAGCTCCTACCCACAGAGCCTAGGTGGCTGTATGCAGTCTGTATTTCTGTAGCCCTTTCATGCCTTTAACCATCCACACAGACGTGGTTTTTACTTGGTTTTCTCCTAATTCCTCCATTGCACAGTGCAACAAAGAAGCCATAATGAAGGCTAAGCATTTTTTGAATACTTATCAGTTCCTGGGCAGAATACTTGATTCAAGTTCATTATGCCAGGAAGTTCAATGACCCAGACCCTAAAATAGCCACAGATTCACAGCCTTGTCAACCAGCTCCGTAGCTGACAGTAGAAGGGAGTTTTCTAGGTAGTTTGGCAGGTCTTAAGGTTAAAGATTATAGGCTTAACATAGGTAGATGTAGGTAGGATATAGCTGTATCTATGTATCACATGCCTTTTATAGCATATGCTCCCACTATCTGGCAAAGCTTAACTTGCTAATGATTGATAGCTCTCTCTGGTGTATAAATCTTGCAGTATAATGGGGTCAAGTACTACAGCTAACACGTTTCAAAAGTAAATATAAAACATTTATTTTTAAATAAAAAAGATGTTCGTTTCCTGAAGGCATATATATAGATAGATAGATAGATAGATAGATAGATAGATAGATAGATAGATAATGTCACACACACGTGTGCACACACACACTCTCTTACAGAAGTATTCATTACAAGGTACCTCTGTAATTGTGGCCAGATATCTGAACTGTAATCTCCATGGGGCAGAGACTGCCTTTTGTTAAGCATTTGCACAGTGCCAACATCAAGCAAATAATAATTGACTGCATTTGACTTTGCCACGTTTAATGCTGAATTTTGTATCGTCAAATTCCTTTCATTGCAGCTTGCATTGAAAATGTATTTGTATTCTGCTTAAATATGTTAAGAATTATCCTGAGGGAATATAGTAAAATGTAGTCATGTTTATTTGTAATTGCTACAAAACGGTTTACAAAATTGCTAGTGTCTTTTATTATGCCTGCTACTGAAGCACTTGCTTGTTAATTAGAGAAATTTCAGCTGTCATCGTCCGCAATTATAGCTTCTGTATCACTGTCTGTTATGAATAGTCAATGAGGGCTGATTAATATGCATGAGTAGCAGTATATAGTGTGTGCATTGGACCACAGTACAGCAGCTTGACTAAAGCAGTAGAGGGAGTGTTGTGTACTCTGAGTGAACGAGGGAAAGCGCTAAAGAAAAGGGTATAGTTGCTCTGCAACAAACGGTGCAATACCAATGTCAATTGTTTCAGTTTAGCTGGCTCACCTAGGTATTTGAAAGGATATCTGCATGCATGCTTGTTAACAGCTATTTCTCTGGCTGTACGGGTGAATAAAGAAGACTGTCTCTGACACTTACTTAAACATGGGATGCAGTTTGTGCACTCTACAGAAGCAAGAAGAGCAGTACAAATTACTGTATGAAGTTTGTCAGGTAAAACCATTAGATTTCATTTCTAAGAACAGATGTTTTGTAGGCTGCTGGCAATTATTGTTGTTTATGGGTGGGGGGGAGAAAGAGGGTGCTTGCAAAACTGATAACATAGGGGTTTACTGTCTGTCTCGATGCACGTGCACTGCACATTCTTTTATTATTACTACTATTACTATTATTATGTGCCTTTCCAGCTCCCAGGAGGCGAGATATTTAAATTCACACTGATATGCATCAAACTTGCTACAAGCCTTCGTGTCACAGTCAGGGTGCCAGAGTCATTTTCTCCAGCATGTATTAAGTAAAATGTCTCTCAACAAGGGTCATAGCTTGGTCATGCACTCTTTGAACAAGTTAGAAAGACATGTGCGATGATTGATGCTCAGGAGGGTTTTGTCTCTGTTTACAAGTAATTATAAGACACTTCTTTCTGTGGGATGCATGTATTTGCTGATGACTTCAGCCTTTAAGCGACTCTTTAGACAAGTTTTAAGTCTCGCAGTTTCTGCTTCTCAGCACGTCACTTAGCTAATGTGCATCTTCAACTACTGCTGTATCCCTCTTCACAATTATTTTTTCATACTAAGTTCTTTCTGAGGGCAAATAACCAATTTACTAACTCCTATCTTAGCATAAGCAGAACTTCATATTTCCCAACTCTCTGTAATGTTTGCAAGGTATTTGTTTCTGCTGGCAGGCTCCCATAGTCATCTTACTCATTTTTATTCATTTCAACTTTAATGTATAGTGAAAATTGGAAAGCGCCTATTATATTTTCATATCTGAAAAGTATGGGGCTTTTTATGCTGCTCCAACATTGCATCAAATAGAAAATGCCTGAATATTTTGAAACAATGGTAACTAGGCAGTTCTCGACTTATATTAAGAATCTGAAACAATTTCAAAGCACCACATGCAAGTATTGAATCAGTTGACATCTCTCCGAGATGTAATTTTCTACACTTACCGGTAGAGGGTGTTGCATATCATTACAAAAGAGTTGCCTAGTAAAATCATGTGGTCTTTGTTGTGATACTACCTGTATTTGATCACAGGATATACTGATGTCATCTGCAACATAGTGAGTAAAATCAGTGTCATGTATCCTATGCTAATTAGGAAGTGATTACAATTTAAAACACAGAGCTTTGCTCTTGTTCTTTTTCTCCCTACCCCCACCCATTCCGACCCCCCAAGGACAAGATTGCTTTGTGTAAAAAAACGTTGTTAAATCAAATGGCAAGACGTGTTTATACTCATTTTGACTTGTGGAAACTCATTCAGCCTTGTGAAGCTGCTGTAATGCAGGTCACGATAGGAAGACCTCTAAAGCAAGATAACAAGATTTCTTGGACAACGTTCCTAACCGAGACCCAGCTTTTGATGGTGCCTGCAACAGTAGGGTTGAAGTCGATATTGTTTGTGTGAATCCTTCTGTTAAGATGAGGTGATGTCTGTCGTAATCGTTAGCCCACAGCGTCGCCAAGTTTTCACGCAGTCTAGGCTTGAGGACTATCAACGAATCGCATGTTCAGAAGTACAACAAGCAGAACAAACTGAAACAGCAGCAAATTCTGAATATTTAACCACTTGCAAGACGTGCAGGATGTTTTGTGTCATGTCAGAAGGCAGAGGAGAATCTTTTCGACTCTCTAACATCATTTACCTTCAGTTTAGCCTCACGAGGATACCTGAGCAACTTCATAATGTCTGATGTTAAGCCCATGCCCGACTGTGCAGGTTCAGAGCTTCATTGTTAAATTAGAGCATAAGCCGTCAAAGTGCTCAGATCCCGCTTTGTGCAGTGTACTTCAGTACATACCATGGGCAAGCGCTCAATTTTAAACCTGTTCTTAAGCCCTATGGAGAAGCAAGGCCTGAATTTCAGCTTCTCCAGAAGTCATAGATTACAGTTTTAATAGATTGAAAAATCAGACATTTTAATATACTAAAGCTCCTTTTTTTATTTACATAAGGAGTTGGGATCATAAGCTTCATACATAATATTGTGCACAATTAGTCTATAGGCTTAACTTTTTTTTAAAGTATTTATGTACATTTTTCCACCATATCTTGACACAACCACATTTTCTGTGGGTTTTAGAACACTGTGTAGTAAGCTAAATTTTTATATTAATGTAGGGAATTTGCAGATTATTAGAGTACATAGGGTGATGTCTATCTAGAATGTGAGACCTGCAAAATAATTTTAATTCAAAATAATAGGACATAAATGCCAAAAATATGAAAACACTTTCACTTTAGTAATAAAATGGCTCTTGCTGTGGTCTTTATGTTGTACCCTTCAAGACAACCTAATATAATGAAGCTATAAAATAAAGCTCTATGAAGACTAAAAGAAACATTTTTTAAACAAGATTAAGTCTGATACAGCTTATAATTCACTTTTCTGAAATACTAAGCATTAGTACAAATAAATCCCTTTAACCTTATTTTTAAAAGTTCATGACTCTGGAATGGAGGAATTCAGAAAACACTTGCAAGAATTAATAATAGTGCATAACTGCACTTTCTCTTTTAGGCCAAGAGCTTTAATGTGGCTGGGAAATTAATGCTTCAATAAATTACAATTCCAGAAGGTCCAGTACGTCTGGCTCCATAAGTCCTCATAACAGGGAGCACAAAGAGGATCAAATATACCAGGGCTCAGGCTTTATCCCTTCCTCATCCATAGATAATTCAAAGAGATCCTCTTCATTAAGGGCTTTGGCACACTGCCTACAATTTCTTTTTGGGCCGCTGTGAGCTTAATGATGCAGAACAATGGTCTTCCCTCTTGTTGAACACATACCTTATTGTACCTTTAATCACATAATAAAAAGCAAATTAAGACACCTAGTCATTAAAGAGCATTGTGGATGTTGTGCATATCAATGCTTTGTATTATGAATTTGAAGGGGGGGACCATGGCAACTTAAAATCTCCATGACACAGAATGACAGTTATCACTGGATATAGCTAAGCATTGTTAATATACTGGGATATGATCTCTTCTAGTTGTCTAGTAGCTGTGACAAGTCATTCTTAGACAAAGCTATAAATACACAGAGCTTCTTGACACTTCCAAGGTGTTTCTACACCTAGTATGAGTCTGCCTTCATGAGCAACATCTGAGATAACTAAGAAGCCCATAGAAGATAATGAATTTATCTAGTTGTTTTCAATACTATTTGAAGGCAGGAAAGGAATAATAGCCAGAAATTTGGGGGGGGGGGCACGCTTTACTGGAAGCAGCAGAGTTACTTCGACCCAGCTCTGCAGCATCTGTATAGATCGGGCGCTTCAGTAGGGCTTTTTGGCACTTTTAACTAATGCTGATTCAATCAGCTATTAGGTAAAAGGGACAAAAAAGTCCCACTAAAGCACCTAATCTATAAAGACATTGGGAAAGCCAGTTGCAACTAACTCAATGCCTCTTCTGGGCATGCGCTGGGTTTGGTGAGGGGGTGCACCAAGTTTAAAGTGCCATTTTGGGTTCCCCCCACACCTGCAAGCAGCCAAAATGCTTTTATCACACCATTTTTCCAGTACTGTTTTTTTATCACTCAACAACTTCAGCTATCATTGAGACTAACAGACGAAGAGTACTTGGGACCCTACAGCAGAGGTTCCCAAACTTTTTCTTATTGCGTACCCCCTTCCATATTCACCAGCATACCCCTGCCAGCATACGTTTTATCTTTAACCCCTTATTATAATGAAATTAAATCCACCAGTACACAGTTTCTCCCATGGAGTCCCCAGAGATGTCTTGTGTACCCCCAGGGATATATGTACTGTAGTTTGTGAACCCCTGGCCTACAGGATAAAACCTAAGCACGCTGTACTGAAGAAGCAGATATAAAAGCATGGGGACTCTCTGCGGTCAAACTTTTTGTGTTTCCAAGTTGATGTAGCAACGACACCAGTTAATAAAGACCCCAGTTCAGTAAAGCACCCGAATCTTTGCACAGCACATGCCTCAGTGCTTACCCGCACCTTTCAAGAGCAGGCATGTACAACTTTCTGCTGTGATGTATAATTGCTGAATCTGACTGAAGGAGGCAATGGTGGAAAGGTGTTTGCCTAGATATATTGAGTTGGTGGAGCATGCTCCAGTTCTTAAAGCTGGTGGCGGACATCCACCTCGCACAAGCCGCTTGCTGCCATAGGCACGCCCAGTTGAATAAGCGCAGTTGACTGAGTAAAGAGACGAAACTCCCCTCTGCAGCCTGCCCTTCTGGAGCAGGGTCGAGATACACTGATAGGGCACAAGCTTGCATTACCGCTGGCGATCGTCTGGGATCAGGGGATTTCTGCTCCCATGGACGTGGCGCTGGCACCTTTCACGAGGCCTGAAGTTCACATATAAATAAATAATTGACATCCTGACCTTTTTGTGCCTGAATAAATCAAACAGAAAGCTCCATTCACAGATTCTTAGCTCACACATCACTGGGGGAAGCAAAAACAGTTGAATTTATGCTTTTAACATTAGAATTGGCTAAGTGGCCAATGCCATAAAAAACACAAAAGTCAGCCTGAAAGTCACCATGACAACAAGAAAAATCATATGAATAAGGCACTGAACATTACTGTACTCAACTGACAACTTCCTACAACAAATAGAAACCGTGAAGTCGCTGCCTTCTTCATGTCTACAAATGCAACACCATTATGCAAAGCTGGTTTAAAATATTCAAACGTGTATTTTTTTTATTAGGCTTCCAAATCCTCATACACATTTACCATTGTGATACGCCAGCTAAAGTAACTTTTTATTAAGAATGCGCATAAGCCAATTGGAGTTCAGGCTTAAAGGTAAGCTCACGTTCGCACTTTCCTTGGCAGTGACACCATCCTAAATTAAGCCCAAAGTAAGGATCGATAAAATAAATCAAAATTCAAAACACATTTAAATTAAAAAAAAAAAAAAAAGTTTCTAGAGGTAGATTTAGGTGGAAGATTGTGTGATGAAAGTTCCCTCATATTTAATTAGG